GGGAGGGGGTTAAGTTAGTCAGGTCTCGTTTTCTGTTGTTTATTCTCTCTCTTTTTTTCGTAGAGGGGGATGGGAAGGAAGGGGGGAAGTGAAATGCCAGTAACGTGGCAAGAAAAGAGGAGAATGAGAGAATGAGAGAAGAGATGAGAGAGAGAGAGAGAGAGAGAGAGAGAGAGAGAGAGAGAGAGAGAGAGAGAGAGGAGAGGAGAGAGAGAGAGAGAGAGGGGGGGGGGAGGAAAAGAAAGAATAAAAAGTGAAAATGAAAAGACAGAAAGAGGAAGACATCGAATACAAAACCAGAAAACAAGAAGAAACAACAATAATAATCCATATAAACATAAAAAAATCTACAACGCAGATACCTGTTTATTCAAGCTGGACCGTAAAAAAAAACAAAAAACTCGACAGCGAAAATAACACTAAGGAAACACCATCAGAATACGGAATACATCCTTTACAAAAACACACACACACACACACAAGAGCAGAGAGAAAACTAGAGCTGGACAGAATATAAATTTTTCCCTTAAAAATGCCTTATCTTATTTTCCTTCTTAGTGGAAAGAGAGACCAGGATATCCCGTTTTCTTTGACAAGCCTATGACCACAATGACGTAAGGGGAAACTGATACAAGTCGGGGTTTAAAAAGTAAATTCAGGTGACTCGTTTATTATTTTTATTTTTATTTTAGGAGAAGGAGAGGAAGGGGATGAAAGGGAATATAGACGACGTTTCTGTAAATCCTAGATAATCCAACTGAGGAAGAGAGAAGGAGAGAGAGATGAGCGAGAGAGAGGCTGGAGTAGAGGGGGTGGGGGAGAAAAGAAAGAATAAAAAGTGAAAATGAAAAGACAGAAAGAAAGAGGAAGACATCGAATACAAAACCTAGAAAAAAGAAAGAAGAAAACAACAATAATAATCCATATAAACATAAAAAAATCTACAACGCAGATACCTGTTTATTCAAGCTGGAACCGCTAAAAAAAAACCAAATAAACTCGACAGCGAAAATAACACATAAGAGAAACACCATCAGAATCGGAATACATCCTTTACAAAAACACACACACACACACAAGAGCAGAGAGGAAAACTAGAGCTGGACAGAATATAAATGTTTCCTTAAAAATGCCTTATCTTATTTTCCTTCTTAGTGGAAAGAGAGACCAGGATATCCCGTTTTCTTTGACAAGCCTATGACCCCAATGACGTAAGGGGAAACTGATACAAGTCGGGGTTTAATAAAAGTAAATTCAGGTGAACGACTTTTAATTATTTTTTATTTCTATTTTAGGAGAAGGAGAGGAAGGGGATGAAAGGAGAATATAGACGACGTTTCTGTAAATCCTAGCTAATCCAACTGAGGAAGAGAGAAGGAGAGAGAAGGGGAGGAACGGGATGATGAGGAAGAGGAGGAGGAAGAAGGAACGAGAGAGGGAAAAGGAAGAGGAAAAGGAAGAGGAAGAGGGAGAGGAAAAGGAAGAGGAAGTGGGAAAGGAAGAGGGAGAGGAAAATAAGGGAGAGAGAGAAAATGAGGGGGGGGTGAAAGACAGAATCCCCTAAAAGTAAGAGACAGAGATAAAAAAAAAAAAGAGTGAGAGAAGGAAAGAAAAAAAGAATCACAAAGATAACTAAATAAAAAGACACAAAGCTTTTACACTCGAGGGGCGAACGCGAAATTCCCAGCTTATGGAGTATTGAAAAGAAAAAAAAAAGAAAAAGTTCGGATTAACCACTTAACATCGAGAGTCCCGAGTTGCCAGTTAGTATAATAGCTCCAATGCAGATTCTGCCAATGTTCAAATCTGTTGTGATATATTTTGCTTCCGTTTCCGAAATGCATGATGCTGTGGGGGAGGGAAAAGGACGCGTACGTGCGTGCGTGCGTGTGCGTGTGCGTGTGTGTGTGTGTGTGTGTGTGTGTGTGTGTGTGTGTGTGTGTGTGTGTGTGTGTGTGTGTGTGTGTGTGTGTGTGTGTGTGTGTGTGTGTATGTGTGTGCATGTATACGTGTGTTCGTGTGTGTGTGTTTGTAAAATATTTGAGCGCGAGTATCTAAGCCCATGTGCGTGTCTTTGTTCGTGAGAGAGAAAGAGAAAGAGAGAAATATGAATTCATAAGCGCATGTTTACGAACGCCCCGAATATGCATGTTTGCAAGCAAGCACTTTCCCTCAACGCCCCCCCTTACCCCCCACCCCCCGCCCCACACACGCAAGCACGATCTGGAAGGGAAGGTATATTAAGACCTCCCTCCACCTCTTACGATAAACAGGCTCACAAATATGCAAATTGGCAACCGAGGTATCATATGTGCTTGACTATATTAATTCGTACTACGTGTTTATTCAGCAGTGAGCGATGAATCAAAGACTAAGGGATCGTCTGCTCGCCTGTTTCCCCTGCCTGCTTGCTTGCTTGCCTGCCTTCCTACTTTACTATCTCTCTTCCTTCTGCTTTGTACCGTAGGATCTATCGCCTCCGAGTTCTCAATCTCGTCATGGATCTAGAAAAAAATGTGCCGAGTTGGCTTGGATCCAGCCCTTGGCGACTTAATGGATCCGACACAGTTAGTTAGACTTTGGCGCAGCAAAGGTGAGACATGGCCGCCTACTGCGAGCGAATATATACGTATATAAACGCGCGTCTTACACCCACACCCACACCCACATTCATGTATAAACACAAATATATATATATATACATACACATACACACATACATATAATCAAACAATGCATGAAGCTCCTGGCGGAATAAATCTTTTATTTCTATCGTGTTCAAGGAAAAACAAGTTTAGACAAATGATAATACAAACAAACACAATTAGCTGAAGCATACTCATGCCGAGCACACAAAGGGCCATAACAAAACACATTTACTCTTTCCCTCCGTCCTTCCCTCCCTCCCGTCCCTCCCTCTGCCCCCCCTCCTCCCTTTCCTCCCTTCCCTCATACCCAACATCCCTCCCCATCTCCACTTCTCCCCTTCCTTTATCCCTCCCTCCTTCACTCCCCCCCCCCTTCCCCTCCCATCCCCTCACTCACTCTCTTTCCCTCCCTTCCCTTCCCTCATCCCCTTCCCTTCCCCTCCCTCTCCCTCCCCCTCCTCTCCATTCCCTCCATAGCCTTTGCACTCTCCCCTCCTCTCTCTCTCCCCCCTCCCTCCCCTCTCCCCCTCCCCTCCCCTCTCGTCCACACATATTCATACATAAATATGCATATATATTGTTTACACTGTAACATTCGTTTCAAATCTGCTATGTAAATAAAACTAGTGGGGGGAGGTGGGGGGGGCTATCACATCCCCCCGGCCGGCAGCTGCACATTTTGTTGAGATCGAGCGACTTTGCCATATTTTGCCTTCCTCTTCAAACCTCTGTTTATCACCCTCTTTCCACTTCTTCCGCATTTACTCTCATTTATTTGTTATCATCTACTCGTCTTTATCTATGCGTCTTTCTCTTTTTCGCTTCTCTTACTCTCTCATACACCCCATCTCTTATTTATCTAGGTATTTTCTCTTTCTCTTTCTCTCTCTCTCTCTCTTGCTCTCTCTCTCTCTCTCTCTCTCTCTCTCTCTCTCTCTCTCTTGCTCTCTTTTTCTCTCTTTTCTCTCATTCTTTTTCTTTTTTCTCTCTCTTTCCCCCTCCCTTTCTCCTTCCCTCCCTCCCTCCCTCTCTCTCCCACTCATTATACAACCTACCCCCTAACCGCTCCTACCTCCCCCTCCCCAACCCCCTCGCCGCTCCCACCCCCACCCCCCCCTTAAGCAGATCATCTCCCTCGCTGCATGAAAGAAATATATACTTAAAGCTTCACTGCCTGAAAGGTGGAGGGTCCAGTGCGTAGATTTACCTGTCGAGTCCAATTGTTCTGTGTGTGTGTTTTGTGGGGGGGAGGGGGGTTATGGGATGGGGGAAACAGGGGGGGAGGGAAGGGAGGGGGTGTACATATATGTATGTGTGCTTAGTGTGTGTATAGGAGGAGAGGGGAGAGAAAGAGGGAGAGAGGGAGTGGAAAGGGGAGAGGAGAGGGAGGGAGAGGGAGGGGGTGATAGGGAGGGAGAGAGAAGGGGAGATAGGAGGGAGAGGGAGGGAGAGAGGGAAAGGGAGAGGGAGGGGGAAGGGGGAGAGGGAGGGTGAGAGGGAAAGGGAGGGGGGAGGGGGAAGGGGGAGAGGGAGGGGAGAGAAGGCAAGGGAGAGGGAGGGGGAAGGGGAAGAGGGAGGGGGAGAGGGAAAGGGAGAGGGAGGGGCGTAGGTACGTGTCTGTGTGTATTTGTTGGCCTTTTGTTTGTTCGAATATATGCAAGTATACACTACACTCATAACTGTGTTTATCCGTAGCTATTGACAACAACTACATTATAACAATCTGTAATTGCCAGACAAAACGGTCCTAAAAATAACGAGATAAACCGTTTTCCGTTTAATCCCTCCCCCCCCCCTTTTTTTTAGAATCTCTTACTCACCTATTTACTTATTCAGTATTTTTTTTCGCCCGTGTTGTGATTCGTATAATCATTCGTAAATCATGGTGTTTGTGTCTGTCTGTCTTTATTAGTGAATTCTACAGTTTGTTTTATTCTCTCTTTCTCACTCACTTATTATCTCTTACTTTCTCTCTCTTTCGCTCTTTCTGTCTCTCTCTCTCTCTCTCGCTCGCTTTCTCTCTCTCTCTCTCTTTCTCTCTCTCGTTCGCTCGCTCTCCCTTTTCATCTCTCTCCCTTTTCATCGCTCTCTCTCTCTCTCTCTCTCTCTCTCTCTCTCTCTCTCTCTCTCATTCGCTCGCTCTTGCTTTTCATCTCGCTCTCTCTTTCTCTCTCTCTCTCTCTTTCTTTCTCTCCACGCATCTCTTAATCTGGACTCATTCTCCTCAATCTTCATCTATCTCTATCTCTAACATCCCCCCTCCCCCCAATCCCCCCCTCCCTTTCTCTCCCCCACGGGCTAGCACACAGCGTTGCAGGAGTTGATCACGGTTGCAATGGCGTGATGAAGTAC